AAATAAGATGGAAAAGAAAAAAACCCTCAGGGATGAAAATAAAGGCAGTTAAATAAAGCAAAAGTAAAAGCTGTGTGTGGAAGCAAAGGAAAGCAAAAGATTTCTTCTCTGCTTCCCATCAGCAGGTGATGTCCAGCCACTTCCCGGAAAGTTGGGCTTCAGTAGGTGCAGAAGTTGCTCCAGAAGAGACAACTCTTATCCCAGGCTTTTTCCAGTGGTGCCCAGGGATAAGACAAGAGGAAATGGGCACAAACTGGAATATGAGAAGTTCCACCTAAACACGAGGAGGAACTTCTTCACTTTGAGGGTGACAGAGCCCCGAAGAGGCTGCCCAGAGAGGTGGTGGAGTCTCATTCTCTGGAGACATTCAAAACCCTCCTGGACACGTTCCTGTGGGACCTGCTCTGGGTGGACCTGCTTTGGAAGGAAGGTTGGACTAGATGATCTCCAGAGGTCCCTTCCAACCCCATGTCATTCTGTGGTTCTGTGACAAATGTCATAAGAAAGAATGTCCCCTCTTCCTCCTCGTTTCTCTTAAGTATTTTATTGCTGAGCAGATGTCACGTGGCACGGAATATCCCTGTGGTCAGGTCGGGTCAGCTGGTCCTGGCTGTGTCCTCTCCTGAGATCTTGCCACCTCAACTTCCTGGTGAGGAGGGGAGATGTTGGAGAGGCAGGGGGGGAGATGTTGGAGAGACAAGGGGGGCATGTTGGAGAGACAGCCCCATGCCAGCCTGATACCACACTCCATAAGAAAATTAACTCCATCCCTGCCAGACCCACCACAAGGAGCCAGAAGGGACAGAACTCAACTTGTCCCCAAGCTCTGTGGTCCCTTCCAGCTTTATTCCACGCAAATCCTTCACAATTCCAGCATTTTCAGTTAATTAAATATTTCTTCGTGGTCTCGTTGCCACCACCAGCGGCTCCCCGGGGCTGTCAGCATCGTCGGCTCCTCATCCTCCTCATCCTCCTCATCCTCCTCAGCCGCCTCATCCTCCTCATCCGTCTCATCCTCCTCATCCGTCCCCACTGAGCCCTGAGGGTGACTTTTTTTCCCCAAAAAAGTTGCTTTTGGAGAGGTGAGACCCCAGAGACGCTGTGGGCACCCCCAGAAACTCAGCAAGCACCCCAGAGACGCTGTGGGCACCCCAAGAAACTGAGCAAGCACCCCAGGGATGCTGTGGGCACCCCAGAAAGTGGCATGTGCACCCCCAGAAACTGAGCGAGCACCGCAGGGATGCCGTGGGCACCCCAAGAAACTGAGCACCCCGGAAACATGGGCACCCCGGAAAGTGGCGCAGGCACCCCAAGAAACTGAGCAAGCACCCCAGAAACACCATGGGCACCCCGGAAAGTGGCGTGGGCACCCCCAGAAACCCAGCAAGCACCCCAGGGACACTGTGGGCACCTTGGAGAGTGGTGTGGGCACCCCCAGAGACTCAGCAAGCACCCCAGGGACGCCGTGGGTACCCCAAGAAACTGAGCAAGCACCCCAGGGACGCTGTGGGCACCCCAGTGAGTGGGGTGGGCACCCCCAGAGACTCAGCAAGCACCCCAGAAACACCGTGGACACCCCAAGAAACTGAGCAAGCACCCCAGGGACTCTGTGGGCACCCCGGAAAGTGGCGCAGGCACCCCAAGAAACTGAGCAAGCACCCCAGAAACACTGTGGGCACCCCAAGAAACTGAGCAAGCACCCCAGGGACATCGTGGGCACCCCGGAAAGTGGCGTGGGCACCCCAAGAAACTCAGCAAGCACCCCAGGGACTCTGTGGGCACCCTGGAAAGTGGCGTGGGCACCCCCAGAGACTCAGCAAGCACCGCAGGGAGGCCATGGGCACCCCGGAGAGTGGCATGGGCACCCCAAGAAACTGAGCGAGCACCCCAGGGACATCGTGGGCACCCTGGAAAGTGGCGTGGGCACCCCCAGAAACCCAGCAAGCACCCCAGGGACGCTGTGGGCACCCCGGGAAACGTGTGGGCACCCCCAGAGACTCAGCAAGCACCCCAGGGACATCGTGGGCACCCCAGAAAGTGGCGTGGGCACCCCCAGAGACTCAGCAAACACCCCAGGGACGCCGTGGGCACCCCAAGAAACTGAACAAGCACCCCAGGGATGCTGTGGGCACCCTGGAGAGTGGCATGGGCACCCCCAGAGACTCAGCAAGCACCCCAGGGACGCTGTGGGCACCCCGGGAAACGTGTGGGCACCCCCAGAGACTCAGCAAGCACTGCAGGGATGCCGTGGGCACCCTGGAGAGTGGTGTGGGCACCCCCAGAGACTCAGCAAGCCCCCCAGGGACGCCGTGGGCACCCCAGAAAGTGGCATAGGCACCCCCAGAAACTCAGCAAGCACCCCAGAAACACAGTGGGCAACCCCAGAAACTGAGCAAGCACCCCAGGGACGCTGTGGGCACCCTGGAAAGTGGCGTGGGCACCCCCAGAAACTCAGCAAACACCGCAGGGAGGCCATGGGCACCCCGGAAAGTGATGTGGGCACCCCCAGAGACTCAGCAATCACCCCAGAGATGCTGTGGGCACCCCAGAAAGTGGCGTGGGCACCCCCAGAAACTCAGCAAGCACCCCAGGGACGCTGTGGGCACCCCGGGAAACGTGTGGGCACCCCCAGAGACTCAGCAAGCACTGCAGGGATGCCGTGGGCACCCTGGAGAGTGGTGTGGGCACCCCCAGAGACTCAGCAAGCCCCCCAGGGACGCTGTGGGCCCCCCGGGAAACGTGTGGGCACCCCCAGAGACTCAGCAAGCCCCCCAGGGACGCTGTGGGCCCCCCGGGAAACGTGTGGGCACCCCCAGAGACTCAGCAAGCCCCCCAGGGACGCTGTGGGCCCCCCGGGAAACGTGTGGGCACCCCCAGAGACTCAGCAAGCCCCCCAGGGACGCTGTGGGCCCCCCGGGAAACGTGTGGGCACCCCCAGAGACTCAGCAAGCCCCCCAGGGACGCTGTGGGCCCCCCGGGAAACGTGTGGGCACCCCCAGAGACTCAGCAAGCCCCCCAGGGACGCTGTGGGCCCCCCGGGAAACGTGTGGGCACCCCCAGAGACTCAGCAAGCCCCCCAGGGACGCCGTGGGCACCCCAGAAAGTGGCATGGGCACCCCCAGAAACTGAGCAAGCACCCTAGGGACACTGTGGGCACCCCAAAAAACTGAGCAAGCACCCCAGGGACGCCTTGGGCACCCCGGGAAAGGCATGGGCACCCCCAGAAAGGCATGGGCACCCCCAGAAACTGAGCTAGCACCCCAGAAACACCGTGGGCACCCCAAGAAACTGAGCAAGCACCCCAGGGACATCGTGGGCACCCCAGAGAGTGGCGTGGGCACCCCCAGAAACTCAGCAAGCACCCCAGAAACACTGTGGGCACCCCAGGAAAGGTGTGGGTACCCCCAGAAACTGAGCGACCACTGCAGAAACACTGTGGGCACCCCAGAAAGTGGCATGGGCACCCCCAGAGACTCAGCAAGCACCCCAGGGAGGCCATGGGCACCCCGGAAAGTAGCGTGGGCACCCCCAGAAACCCAGCAAGCACCCCAGGGAGGCCATGGGCACCCCGGAAAGTAGCGTGGGCACCCCCAGAAACTCAGCAAGCACCCCAGGGACACCGTGGGCACCCAGGAGAGTGGCGTGGGCACCCCCAGAAACTGAGCAAGCACCGTGGGCACCCCAAGAAACTGAGTGAGCACCCCAGGGAGGCCATGGGCACCCCGGAAAGTGGCGTGGGCACCCCCAGAAACCCAGCAAGCACCCCAGAGATGCTGTGGGCACTCCAGAAAGTGGCGTGGGCACCCCCAGAAACTCAGCAAGCACCCCAGACACACCGTGGGCACCCCAAGAAACTGAGTGAGCACCCCAGGGAGGCCATGGGCACCCCGGAAAGTGGCGTGGGCACCCCCAGAAACTCAGCAAGCACCCCAGGGACACCATGGGCACCCCAAGAAACTCAGCAAGCACCGCAGGGATGCTGTGGGCACCCAGGAGAGTGGCATGGGCACCCCCAGAAACTGAGCAAGCACCCTAGGGACACTGTGGGCACCCCAAAAAACTGAGCAAGCACCCCAGGGACGCCTTGGGCACCCCGGGAAAGGCATGGGCACCCCCAGAAAGGCATGGGCACCCCCAGAAACTGAGCTAGCACCCCAGAAACACCGTGGGCACCCCAAGAAACTGAGCAAGCACCCCAGAGACGCTGTGGGCACCCCAGGAAAGTGGCGTGGGCACCCCCAGAGACTGAACGAGCACCCCAGGGATGCCGTGGGCACCCCAGGAAAGTGGCGTGGGCACCCCCAGAAACTGAGCAAGCACTGCAGGGACGCTGTGGGCACCCCAAGAAACTGAGCAAGCACCCTAAGGACGCTGTAGGCACCCAGGAAAGTGGCGTGGGCACCCCCAGAAATTGAGCAAGCACCCCAGAAACACCGTGGGCACCCCCAGAGACTCAGCAAGCACCCCAGGGACATCGTGGGCACCCCAGAGAGTGGCGTGGGCACCCCCAGAAACTCAGCAAGAATACCCCCTGACACTGTGGGCACCCCCAGAAACTCAGCAAGCAGCCCAGGGACTCTGTGGGCCCCCTGGAGAATGACATGGGCACCCCCAGAGATTCAGCAAGCACCCCAGAAACACCGTGGGCACCCCCAGAGACTCAGCAAGCACCCTAGGGACGCCGTGGGCACCCCGGAGAGTGGCGTGGGCACCCCCAGAAACTCAGCAAGCAGCCCAGGGACTCTGTGGGCACCCTGGAGAATGGCATGGGCACCCCCAGAAACTCAGCAAGCAGCCCAGGGACTCTGTGGGCACCCTGGAGAATGACATGGGCACCCCCAGAGATTAAGCAAGCACCCCAGAAACACAGTGGGCGCCCCAAGAAACTGAGCAAGCACCCCACAGACGGCGTGGGCACCCCGGCGAGTGGCGTGGGCAAGCCGGGGAATCCGTGGGGCGTGCCGGCGGCGGCCGGGGGAGCCCGGTGCTGCGCCTCTTACCGGTGTCGGCGGCGCCGCAGGGCAGCAGGAGGGAGACGGTAGAGAAGAGCAGCGGCAGCAAGAGCCGGGCCATGGGACAGCGGCGACGGCGGCGGCGGCGGCGGAACCGGGAGCGGGGGGGGGGGCCCTAAGGGACCCCAGAAACACCGTGGGCACCCCAAGAAACTGAGAAAGCACCCCAGGGATGCTGTGGGCACCCCGGAAAGTGGCGTAGGCACCCCCAGAAACCCAGCAAGCACCCCAAGGACACTGTGGGCACCTTGGAGAGGGGTGTGGGCACCCCCAGAGACTCAGCAAGCACCCCAGGGACGCTGTGGGCACCCCGGGAAACGTGTGGGCACCCCCAGAGACTCAGCAAGCACTGCAGGGATGCCGTGGGCACCCTGGAGAGTGGTGTGGGCACCCCCAGAGACTCAGCAAGCCCCCCAGGGACGCCGTGGGCACCCCAGAAAGTGGCATAGGCACCCCCAGAAACTCAGCAAGCAGCCCAGGGACTCTGTGGGCACCCTGGAGAATGACATGGGCACCCCCAGAGATTCAGCAAGCACCCCAGAAACACAGTGGGCGCCCCAAGAAACTGAGCAAGCACCCCACAGACGGCGTGGGCACCCCGGCGAGTGGCGTGGGCAAGCCGGGGAATCCGTGGGGCGTGCCGGCGGCGGCCGGGGGAGCCCGGTGCTGCGCCTCTTACCGGTGTCGGCGGCGCCGCAGGGCAGCAGGAGGGAGACGGTAGAGAAGAGCAGCGGCAGCAAGAGCCGGGCCATGGGACAGCGGCGACGGCGGCGGCGGCGGCGGAACCGGGAGCGGGGGGGGGGGCCCTAAGGGCTCCCGCGGGGGCTCCGCGGAGCTGCCCCGCCGACCGGGACCGCGCAAATCACTTTCCCCTTTCGCTTTCGCTTTCAAACCCGCGGGGGCAGCGGGAGGGCCGGGCCGGGCCGGCAGGATGGGGAGCCCCGGGAGACGGGGAGGGAAGGGGAGGAAGGAGAGTCGTGTCCCCCCCCGGGGGGAGATTTGGGAGCCGAGGAGTTGGGGGGTGCGAGAGGAGGGAGGGGATCGGAGAGTCATCCAAGGGGTGTCTTCCCCAAAAAGCTTCCTGGGAGTCGCAGAGACGCCGAAAAGAAACCAGCCAAGGGTTCCCAAGTTGGGTGTTTCTAGATGGTTCTCCCCAAACCGGGTTTTTGGGGAGGTGGTGGCGTGCAAGGAAGGGGGATGGAGTAGCTTCTGAGCTGGCTCGTTGCCCCAGAAAGTTATCCAAAGTTCAAATATAGTGTATTTTTATCCGTTCTCCATCCCCTGGTGGAGAAGAGGATTGAGGTGCTGCTCTGGAAGATGGTGAGAGGTGTAACTGTAATGTCATCAGACCTGCATTCAGCACGTAACAACTTCAACCACTCATCTTTATGGCAACAAAGACAGCAACCATTGGTGAAGTGAGTTTCCAGGATCATAAAATCATAGAGGGATTAGAGGTGGAAGGGACCTTAAAGCTCATGAAGTTGCAACCCCCTGCCCTGGGCAGGGACACCTCCAACCAGACCAGGTTGCTCCAAGCCCCCTCCAACCTGGCCTTGAACCCCTCCAGGGATGGGGCAGCCACAGCTTCTCTGGCCAACCTGGACCAGTGTCTCACCACCCTCCCACCAAACAAGTTCTTCCCCACAGCTCAGCTCCATCTCCCCTATTGTCCAATCACTATGTGCTCTTGTAAAACATCCCTCCTCATCTCTCCTGGAGCCCCTTGAGGGACTGGAAGGGGCTCCAAGGTCTCCCCGGAGCCTTCTCTTCTCCAGGCTGAACCCCCCCAACTCTCTCAGCCTGTCCTCCCAGCAGAGGTGCTTCAGCCCCTGAAGCATCTCCGTGGCCTCCTCTGGCCCCATCCAACAGCTCCGTGTCCTTCTGATGTTGGTGGCCCCAAAGCTGGAGGTATCACTGGGGGATGTCTCCCCAGAGCGGAGCAGAGGGGCAGAATCCCCCCCTGGCCCTGCTGGCCATGGGGCTGGGGATGCAGCCCAGGATGAGGGGGACTTCCTGGGCCACCAGCGCACGTTGCTGGCTCGTGTTGAGTTTCTCATCCACCAACACCCCCAAGTCCTTCTCCTCAGGGCTGTTCTCCAGCCATTCTCCACCCAGCCTGGATTTGTTTGTCCATCCAGCCAATTTCTTTTCCACTGAGTGGTCCCATCCGTCAGATCCGTGTCTGTCCAATCTAGAGACAAGGATGTCATGCAGGACAGTGTCAAACGCTTTGCACAAGACCAGGTAGATGACATGGGTTGCTCTTCCCTTATCCACCAATGCTGTAACACCATCGTAGAAGGCCACTAAATTTGTGAGGCACAATTTGACCTTATTGAAGCCATATTGGCTGTCACAAATCATCTCCTTATTTTCTATGTGCCTTAGCAGAGTTTCCAGGAGGATCTGCTTCATGATCTTGCCAAGCACAGAGGTGAGACTGACCGGCCTGTAGTTCCCTGAGTCCTCCTTTTTTCCCCTTTTTAATGATGGAGGTTACGTTTCCCCTTTTCCAGTCAGTGGGAACTTCACCACACTGCCATGAATTCTCAAATATGATGGACAGTGCCTTGGCAATTTCATCGGCCAGTTCCCTCAGGACCCACAGATGAATCTCTTCAGGTCCCGTGGTCTTGTGCATCTTCAGGTTCCTCAGCTGGTCTTGAACTTCGATGGTCTTGTGCACCTTCAGGTTCCTCAGCTGGTCTTGAACTTCGTCTTCTCCTACGGTGGGTGGTTCTTCATTCTCCTGCCTTTGCTTTCTGCAACTTGAGTGCTGTGGTTAGAGCCCTTGCTGGTGAAGACTCATTCTTCTGGTCCCTGCCTTTGCCTTCTGCAACTTGGGTGGTGTGGTTAGAGCCCTTGCTGGTGAAGACAGGCAAAAAAGTCATTAAGTACCTCAGCCTTGTCCATGGCCCAGATGACCAGGTGTCCCATTTCCTTCTGGAGATGGCCCACATTTTCCCTGGTCTTCCTTTTGTCACTGACATACCTCTAGAAGCTTTTCTTCTTGCCATTAATGTCCCTGGCCAGATTTAACTCTAACAGGACTTTAGCTTTTCCAACCTTCTTGGACAATTTCTCTGTATTTCTTCCAGGTTTCCTGTCCTTGCCTCCATCCTCTGTAGCCTTCCATTTTCTGTTTGAAATTCTCCAGGAGCAATTTGTTCATCCATGCAGGCCTCCTGGTGTTTTTGCCTGACTTCTTTGTTGGGATGCATTGCACCTGAGCTTGGAGGAGGTGATCCTTGAACATTAACTAGCTTTCTTGGGCCCCTCTTCCCTCCAGGGCTTTATGCCACTGCACTCTGCCAAGCAGACCCTTGAAGAGGCCAAAGTCTGCTCTCTTGAAGTCCAGGGTAGGGAGCTTACTGTGCGCCCTCCTCACTGCCATAAGGATCTTGAAGTCCACCAGCTCATGGTCACTGCAGCCAAGGCTGCCCTTGAGCTTCACATTCCCCACCAGCCTCTCCTTGTTGATGAGAACAATGTCCAGCATGGCATCTCTCCTCGTTGGCTCCTCTATCACTTGGAGAAGGAAGTTTTCTCCTCGTTGGCTCCTCTACCACTTGGAGAAGGAAGTTATCATCGACACATTCCATGAACCTCCTTGCTTATGCCCTGCTGTGTTGTCCCTCCAACCGATATTGGGGTGGTTGAAGTTCCCCATGAGGACCAGGGCCTGTGAACGTGAGGCTGCTCCTATCTGTCTATAGAGGTAGGGCCTGTCAACATGAGGCTGCTCCTATCTGTCTAGAGAGGGCCTCATCTGCTCAGTCTTCTTGGTCGGGTGGCCTATAGCAGACCCCCACTGTTATGTCACCTGCCCCTGTGTTCCCTTTAAGCTCTTGGTTGGGTCCTCATCCATCCCCAGGCAGAAGATACCCCTAGAGAAACCAGTTCCTGGGGTGATGCAATACCCAGGGGTCACTGCAGTACTCAGTTGGTGAGGGGGGACAATACCCAGGAGGATGTGGTACCCAGGGGATGGTGTTGGAACCAGCAGGATGCAGTATCTTGGGGAGGGATGCGATTCCTGGCAGGAGATGGTACTCCACGTGGGGATGTCCAGGGGAATGTGGTACCCAGAGGAAATGCAGAGTCCTGGGGGGATGAAACTCTTCCCCTCCATATAACTTCCCAAATAACTGCCCAATAACTAGACAAGGAAAGGAAAAGGGCTATTTGGAGGATAACGTTGCACGACCAACTAGCGATTCTTCAGGAGAAGTCGATAAATTCTCCATCTGCCTATCAAGGAGAGAGAATTAACCTCAATTAACCTCCCCTGGAGCAGAAAAGAGTCGCTGATCGTGGTCCAACTGGGTGACAAACCACTTGCCCCTGCCAAGGGTATGTTAGAAAGAGCAACGTACGATACTGCAGACCTGGAGGACAAGGTGTACATCCCTGAGGAGGAACACTAGAAACAGTCAGGACCAGGCAGATGAAAATGCTGCACCAGTTATACACCAGTTCAGTGATAACACAGATTCCCAGGGCTTGGCGTTTACACTGTTGATGATTAAGCACCCTCCTTCTAATCTGTGTACTCTGGACAGGTTGGGATTTCACATCACAAGCAGAAGGCAATCAGCAGGTTAGAGTTAATAATCAGCTTACACAATAAATAGCTGAGGGTAATAATACTGGGATTTGCTCTGAAGACAAATACAGTCTGCAAAGACTTGACCTTTCTTCTCCAAGCATTCCTTAAAAAGCTACGTAAAACCCAGTGGTGTCCATCATCTGGGTAAGGATTTTTGCAAGCCTTGTGAAACAAGCTCTGTAGCTACTAAACTTCAAGGAGAGAAGAAAAATTACATCTGTGAAATTATATTGGCCGAACTGGAGAATTATGATGCCCAAGAATGGCATATTTTCAATAGGAAGCCTTTCTACAAAAAATCAGAGCTATTGAGTGGCTGTGGCTGCTAATTTCTGGCATCACCCTGCCATGCCCTGCCTGATCCATGTCTTGGGGGGGCTTCTTGTGCACTGTCCCCCAACGCAAGGCATCAAAGGATCCTTCCCACTGTGTCCCCTTTCCACGCACCAAGACAAGGATGAGACCC